GGTATACCGGCTGAGCTATTCAAAGCCGGTGGAGAAGAGTTGGTGGGGCGTATGTACCAGCTTTTAAGCAGAATTTGGTCTGATGAATACATGCCCGAAGAATGGAATCTCAGTGTACTTTGCCCAATCCACAAGAATCCACAAGGGATCTCCCGCCGTTTGCGCCAATTATCGCGGAATAAGCCTTCTTAATATTGCATACAAGGTCCTGTCGACGATACTGTGTGAAAGACTGAAGCCGTTCACGAACCAGCTGATTGGACCTTATCAGTGTGGCTTCAGACCTGGTAAGTCCACCATTGACCAGATTTTCACAGCACGTCAAATCCTGGAGAAGACATTAGATAAGCAAATCGACACACACCATCTTTTTGTTGACTTTAAAGCTGCTTTTGATAGCACGAAGAGGAGCTGCCTGTACGACGCCATGTCCAAATGTGGGATCCCCGCAAAACTAATGCGGCTATGTAGAGTGACGTTGAGCACAACCTTCAGCTCCGTCCAAATTGGGAAGGACCTCTCCGCACCGTTTGCGACCAAACGAGGTTTTAGACAAGGCGACTCACTCTCGTGCGATTTTTCAATCTGATGCTGGAAAGCGTACTAAGAGCTGCCAATCTGAATCGCAGCGTCACCATATATAGCAAAAGAACGATGCTGCTGGCGTATGCAGATGATATCGATATCGTAGGTCTGAAACAAAGGGACGTAACCGCAGCATTTTCCAGTTTAGAAAAAGAAGCTAAAGAGGTTGGTTGGTGAACGAGGAAAAGACAAAGTATCTCCTGGCATCATATAAAGAGTCCACGCGCTACGGGACACACGTCACTGTTGGCAGATATAACTTTGAAGTAGTGAAGGACTTTGTCTACCTAGGATAGAGCATAAACACCACCAACAACGTCAGCCTGGAGATCAAGCGAAGAATAACCCTTGCCAACAGGTGCTACTTTGGGCTCGGTAGGCAATTGAAAAGCAGAGCCCTCTCTCGACGAACGAAACTCACGCTCTACAAATCTCTCATCATGCCCGTCCTTTTATATGGCGCAGAATCTTGGACGATGTCGAACAAAGATGAGAAGGCTTTGGGGGCTTTCGAAAGAACTATTCTACGCAAAATCTACGGCCCTGTTTTCGTGGATGGCGGATATCGGAGAAGATGGAATGACGAACTGTATGAGCTTTTTAACGACATGGACATAGTTAAGCGCATAAAAATACAACGTTTGCGTTGGCTTGGACATGTTGTACGCATGGATGACGACTCTCCGGTGAAAAGATCCTTCGACTCCGCACCCATGGGTGGACAACGAAAGCAAGGGCGCCCACGAACGCAATGGAAGGACCAAGTGCAGAAGGACCTGTCTGCGCTCGGGATAACCAACTGGCGCAAATTCGCGCAGGAGAGATGCAATTGGAGAAGCTTTTTGGTCTCGGCCCAAACCGGCAAACGGTTGTAGTGCCAAATAAGAAGAAGAAGATTACTTTTTTCTTTTATACTTTCGTTTGCTTGCACTTAATATGACCAATTACCCCGTTCGAGTGATAATCTCGTTTTTTCCAATGGGCATAAACTGCAGTTAAGGCTTGGTGGAAATTCCCTATAACGTTGAGCACTTTAATGATACTGTTTTAGATTTGTTTCGAAAGCATGTACCAAAACGTAATATTGCTCATGAAGAACCAACACAATTATGGTTCACTAAAAAAGAAAATTGAAAAATAGTAAGATACATTCTTTTATACTGTATACACAGTGATTACATAAAGTACTCCATTTTACGGCATAGCCACTTCGCATTAAATAAGAAATGCTATATGTCATATTTATGTAAAATTAAAAAGAATTTAATTAACAATCCTAAATCATTTTATGGTTTCGTAAATTCAAAGCGTAAGCTACATGGTTTTCCGTCCGCTATGCATTATCGCAACACTGTGTCTAGCGACAGCCAACTCATTGCCAATAGAGCTGGAGTTTCGATAGTCGATAGTCACAACCAACGATAGTATCGATACTATCGAAAATGTCGACACTATTTAATTTAGCTGACAGGGGGCCGCATAGGGCGGAAGCGGGTCGGAAAAATTAAGTGGTTGAAGAGCAAATCGAAGGAACTTTCTTTGAACCCGTTCGATTCTCATAGAGTGACAGCTATAAATAGGACTCCAAATGACTGACGCATATTCTAATTTTGAACGTACTAACGAGTTAAAGAGAATTTTCCTAGTGTAAGGGTCCTTAAAGTCCCTCGCATATCGACGTAAAAAAGCTAAGTTACTATACGCCTTTGGGAGCAAGTAGCATACATGGTTTACAAAAGTAAAACCCGAATCAAAGACTACACCCAGATCAACAAAATCATTGAGCAAAGTGAGCTTCTGATTTAAAATTGAGTAACACGAAGCCAATTTACAAGGGTATCTAGAAATTGACATATGGAAGCATTTTTTTATATTGAGCGATAGCTTATTAATTATACTCCAACTGACTAAATTATCCAAATCATGCTGCAGATAGAGGACATCGGACGGCCAAGTTATTTTACGAAACAATTTGAGATCATCGGCGTAAAGAAGATATCTGCAATGTTTGAAGCAAGTACCGATATCATTAATAAACAGAATAAATAAAAGAGGGCCTAGGATGCTACCCTGAGGAACACCTGACGAAGCAACAAAGAACTTGGATTTATAATTTTCAATTTCTACAAAAAGAGTTTGCTCTGTAAGGTAAGATTTCAACCATGACAGGAAAACAGAATGAAAGCCCATACACTGCAGCTTACTTAGCAAGAAAGCATGTGAAACTTTATCAAACGCTTTCGAAAAGTCAGTGTAAATAGTATCGACCTGACAACCGCTTTTAAATGCTGAGACACAGTATTCCGAAAATACCGCTAAGTTAGTGACTGTGGAACGACCACAAACGAAACGATGTTGCTGGGGCTCCACTATACTTTTACAAACGAAAGAAAGTTTATCCGTAACCACTTTTTCAAACAGCTTAGAGGAGACCGTTAGTTTGGAAATAGGTCTATAATTAGATACATCATTTCGGCATCCCGATTTAAATATCGGAGTGATGGATGCCACCTTCCACCGACTGATAAAAACACCTGTAGAAAGAGAGAGATTAAAGATTTTACATAAAGGAACACAGATGGAAGACCTGCACTGTTTCAAGAAATATGCACAAAGACCATCATTGTGACATTTAAGGGACGACTTTATGGAAGAAATTGCATTTATAATGTCAAGCTCCGATATGGAGAGCGCTCCAAAGTCTAGCCGTTGAGCTGGACAGATAGGAGGGAATGTACTAACAGGTATATCATCACAGAAATTGGATTTGAAGAAATCCGCGAAAAGGTCGACTGTATCAGCTAAAGATTGAGAACTATTGCTATTAAAATTCATGCATGTTGGTATGTTTGAACAACCTTTTTTGGAGCGAAAGAAGCTCCAAGATACCTTTATGTTGTAGATCAGACCAGCTAATGTCTGATAGATTAAAATCCCCTAGAATACAAAAATTACATTTATCATTACAATCACAGAGGCTAACAATATTTTCTACGTGATCATTATATAAACTATCGGAACTATTAAGTGGAATGTAAGATACATGCCATGCCAATAAATTGCAAATAAAAACTATGGATTTTAATCAAAGAAAATTGGAGAGCGAAGAGAAACACAACTGCTCAGCGCGAACTTACTTACTTACTTTTGACAAAGTATGCCACTCGTTACTCATCCGTAAACGCGACCTAATTGGCTTTCAGCCCAGTCTTCTTCAATGGATCTCTTCTTACCTCTCTGATAGAACGCAAAGTGTTATTTCTAAAAACTGTTCTTCCAACATCATTAAAGTTTCTTCAGGACTTCCTCAGGGAAGCCACCTTGGTCCGATTCTGTTCCTGATATTCATTAATGATAGTTCTATGTATAATAAAATATTAAACAATTTTTATATGTGCCGATGATGTGAAACTTTTTAAAACATTGTCCTCTATCGAAGAAACGTCTTTGCAACGTGGTTAGTTGATGTAATGCAAACTATATGCCACTAAACCTTAAAAATTGTAAAGTTATATGTTTCTCTCGAAGGGCAGTTCATCCAGCTGTTTATTCAATATCAAATTATTATCCGGAGCAGGTATCCAATTTTGTCGTACTTGGTGTCACAATGGATTCCGAACTCAATTTCAACCTTCATGCCAATAAAGCCAAAGGCGTAGTTGCATTTTTAAAGCGATGGTCAAAAGAGTTCAAAGATCCTTATGTAACAAAAGCTTTTTTTACCACTTTAGTTAGACCTATATTAGAATACGGATCTATTGTTTGGAATCCCCGCTACCAAGTTATTCAGAAAGGATTGAATCAATTCCAAAACAGTTCTTGCTTTTTGCATTGCGTGATTTTAACTGTCGTAGAGAAATGCTAGGTATAATATTTATCGTAAAATTAATGACAGGCTTAATTAATAGCCCGGCCCTTCTGGCTGAGGCAAAATTGAATGTTCCCTCTCGAGTGTCAAGACACGTTCAACCTCTGTTTTTGAAGCCATGCAAAACTAATTTTGAATTAAACGAATCATTCCATTGTTTATGTCAAGATTTTAACTCTCATTCCAGCACGTTTGAATCAGTGATTTGATTGCAATCAAAATCATTGAAATCAAATACGCTTACAATTGTATTGATTGTAGTTTTTTCAATCAGAAAAAAGCAATAAATTTTGATTGTAGTCGTATTAGTAAGCACAATCATTGATTGCTAAAAAAATTGATTGCAAATTTTTACAGTCCTGGTAAGAGTTAACATAATAGTTTTAGGATACTGACTATTTTTTTCTGTCACATTTTCGGCGTAGAATTTTGTTTGTCGCGTAGTTCTCGTAGTTTGTACAGTTATTAAAATTAAGCTAAGCTTTTTGCTACTTAAATAAACAGTTCTAATATTGATTATTGATTATAATTATTTTTGATTTTATAGATGTAGTTACCGAACAAGGAAATGGGGATAATGCACAAGCGGAAACATTCGAAGATAACGCGGCTTGTATGAGAAGAAGCGAACTGCAACGGGGACCAAAAACCTATAATAGAACGACAAATGAAAAATCTGCGTCCCAGTCATCTGTAAATGACCAGGATGGCAAAAAGTTGGCTTGTGTGACTCAAAGGGCAGCTTTACTGAAGTCAATGCTGAACTTCCTTAAAAAGTCTATTCAGGATCATGCACATTTCAACGGAATGCGGAATATAATGGAGAGTTCCCTGCCGAAATCATTGCAGCATATAATATCGAATGCGGAGTATTACGGTCCTTCTTTATTCTTGTTAGCTACAGATGTTGTAACAGTCTATGTTTTCAATGAACCGTCATTGTTGTCGTCCTTACAAGAAACTGGCTTAACAAATGTAATTCTCCGTTCGTTGCTACAAAAGGAAGTACCAGCTACAAGGGAGATATTGGGTTCATTGCCAAACATATTTTCAGCTCTATGCCTTAATGAACGTGGACTAATGGAATTCATGTCCTATGATCCTTTTGATAAGTTCTTGAGAGTATTACTTTCGCCAGACTATTTAATAGCTATGCGTAGGCGCCGATCATCAGATCCGTTGGGTGATACCTCTACGAATTTGGGTAATGCAATGGACGATCTAATGAAACACCATCCTTATTTGCGCACAGACGCAATAGAGGCTATAGTACGTTTACTTCATGAATTGGTTCGATTTGGATCTGATTCCAATTACATTTGTTGGAGGGCTCATAAAGATAATAGTAATTCTGTTGCGAACACATTCAATCCGAACACCCAACAAAGCACAAACACAGAAAGCACACTCGAAATAAGATGCAATGAGAATGATAGCAGCGGTGAAGATGATGAAGACGACGATGAAATGTCGTCTGCCTCGCAGCAAAGACAGAATAGAGCAGCAATAGAACAAGTGCAAGTCCGGTCAAATCAGGAGCGAGAAGCCATACCTTTAATCGACTATATATTAAATGTGATGAAATTTATTGATGCAATATTTAGTAACAGCTCAAACGGCGATCACTGTCGAGAATTTGTAATGCATGGTGGGTTGCAGCCTCTGCTTCGGCTGCTTTCTTTGCCGAATTTGCCAATTGACTCGCCAGTATCCACAACAGCACAGGCTGTTGCCAATGTGTGCAAATCGATATTAAATTTGGCGCACGAGACGACAGTAATTGATATAGCTCTAGAAGAGTTGTCGAAAATAATTGATAATCTAAAACCGCTCATATTGAATTTCAATTTTCCCGGAGGAAGCATACTTTTGCAAGAACTAATTGCTTGTCCGAAACTAGATGATGGCTTTTCGACAGCGGAATATACCCCACTCTTACACAATATGAGTTCCGTTCATGGATACGTAGTGCTCTTGGTACATTTGTGTCGAAATGCTTCGAGTGATATGCGGCTAACGTTACTAAGTCGTTGGGGCACCAATTCTGGGACTGGCTTACAATTATTGCAAAGCTTAGTTCGACTTTATATATCTCTGGTATGGGAAAGTACTATTCTGTTAAGCCTTTGCTCAGATGAGATATCTGAGTCTGGATTGTATGAAACACCGCTAACTGAGCAGGCTGTAGATGCTGAAATTGAGGACTCAACCCCCAAAATGGAAAAATTAAGCTCGATTAAATCAAAAATAAAAGCAGATGATCAATTGCGGTATATAAAATCATTGCTAGCAGCCTCTTCGCGCTTAGGTCGGGCTCTGGCAGAGCTGTTTGGAACCTTGGTGAAATTGTCCGTAGGTACACCACAAGCCCGACAGAGAAGAAGCAATGACTATTCCGCAAGCAATGCAAACAAGATTCCCACTGCTGACGCGAAGGAAATCGCTCGTGTGCTTAGCTCAATTCTCGTTAATGGGTTCAGCCATGAGGACAACGTATCGAAACCAGCGCCAAAGTTGAAGCTTACCTTTCTTATATGTTCTGTTGGTTTTACGGGCCCAATGCTGTTTGACGACAAACGCAGTTGCTTCCATTTAATGATATCCCAATTTTGTGAAGAAAATGGTCTCAAAGCATTTTTTGATATGTTTTATTGGGCACTATCACTAGACAACAGTCCAAACACATTTGGATTTGATCAATGCTTGAAATTGGAAAATATTTTGCAAAATGTCGCCAGTGACACAAACGAGTATCCCGTAGGGACTGGAGAGTTCATAGATGCATGGTTGCAGTTACTTGAAAAGATGGTTAATCCGCGCGGAATTCTCGACTCGCCCTACACTTTGTCCGCAAAAGGTGGCCCCACTACAGAATCAATTGATTTTGAGCCTATATTCTATTTGATACACATGCATCACCTGGCTATGCATGTTGTTAGGCGGATTTGGAAGCGTAAACCTATTCCTAATTATGGCGTATCTATAACGGAAACTATAATGGCCATATTAAAGCATATTATCAAGTCCCACAATACGATTTGTAGTAGATATAAAGCGCGATTAGATGAAATCCAAAACGCTGAAAAATTGGTTGAACAACGTAAAAAATCTACAAAAAGTACCGATGAAGCATACCTAAATGCCAATTATTTCAAAGTACTGACCGATATGGGATTCGGCCAACAACACGTCTTAGATGCTTTGAGAAGCACACGCTCGCTGGAGCAGGCCACTGAGTTTCTGCTGAATCACCCGGAGGCAACCAACACTGATATCCAAACTAACGAAAGTACTTCAGTACCACAATCTCAGTCCCCTTCTAACGATATGGATGTTGACGTTGAAACGGCCTCAACCTCTACATCCAATTCTAACAGAACCAGTGAAACAAACGTAAATTCAAAATATAAACAATGCGGCATTGTTCACGATGTCGAGCTGTTACCAATTGATATATTCAATCAGTTTTGCAACGAAGTATTTGAGAGGGTGTTTGCCTTTATGGAGTATTTGCCCGAAAGCGTAAACACCGGCACAGAGTTGCTATCTGTACTGTATCGGCAAAATAATCAGCAAAATAAACGGGAGTTTATGATGAATCTTGTTAGGGGCGTTACCGAGTGTATGGATCAAATAATTGACATCATAAAAGCTGAGAAGATCACAAACCCATCTCAATTGGAAAATATTTTCTTTGGCGAAACTTCGACAAAACTCTTAATACGGCTTAAAGTGTCTACAATACTACTCGATGAAAATTACAGCGATATTAGGAAAGAATTCTGCGCTATCGTTTCGCAAGAAAAATCTATGCATACCATGGTTAATCTGTTATACGAGACTGAAGCTTTACTGAAGGAACAAACATTGATTGGGGTCAAACCCCAAGCTCCTCTATGGTTACAAAACTTCATAGAATTTGTTGATGCGATCGACAATGTGTGCATAATCCTACAGCGAAGGGAAAATATGCGTGCTGTATGCAGTGATAAATGGAGATGGTACGACGTATCAACAGGTAAATGGAATTCCTATACAGAATCGAATAACAATTTAATTAAAAATGCTTTTGCAATGGGCGAAAAATCCCAAGTGATCAATATCGGTCGCCAACGATATACTGTGAATTTTAACTGTATGACACAAGTAAGCGAAGCATCGGGAAGTCATAGGCCTGTATTACCAGATTTGAAAATATCAGAAGCTTTATGCTTGCTTAACCATGGAAGAAACGGAAATACCAATACGAAAACAGAGAGCATTCTTACGCGCTCTATAAGGACCAAGCCAGGCGGTGAAGGTATCATATTCAAAGATGAATTGGTTTGTCTTCGTTCTCTAACTAGCCTGTCATTTGGCAAAAAAGATTCTGAAGCTGAAAAAAATGTTGACGTTACCAATGAAACCGATTCCCAGCAAGTGGGTGCACCGCTTTCTGAAGAGGGCGTTCCATTGGGAGAAAAGAAAATTAAATTAAAAAATACTACAAAATTGTCTTCGAAAAAGAGCTTGGCAGGGTTTTCGAAACACAGCAAAAAGATCATATTACACGAAGAACTTGTTGGGTTAGCTCGAGAAAATTGCATTGACATTGTTGCTTGTCTTGTTCATTTACTCCGCCCAGAATTATTGGTAGATTTCGAAACCAAACTGTCGATTATGAAACTTTGCGCTCGTTTAACAAAAGATTACGAAAATGCGAAAGCCTTCTACAAAAACGGGGGAATTTCTCTGTTACTAAAGATGCGTCAAACTTGCGGCACGATGGGATTCCCCACATACGCCATTGTTATAATTCGACATGTTCTTGAAGCTCCATCAGTTTTGCAGGAGGCTATTGAGAGAATTTTGACTGCGCGTTCATCGTCTACAGTCCCAGTGGGTCATCGAGATCTTGTGTATCTGTTCACACAAGTATCTTCGGCTGTGGCAAGACATCCTACTGTATTCCTCATGGCCGCCAAACAGTCATTGCAAGCGGATAATGCAATGAGCTCGAACTTCCCTGTAGACGACTCAAGGTTTCTTGTAAAAGCTCAAGCAAATAAGGCGAGCGATACGGCTTCCAACACTTTTTCGAAAACTGACGACGCCTCAGAAGAAACCGTGAAGGAGTTACTGAGAGCAATCGTCCAACCTTGCATTCATTATGGAGGCGTACCAGTAACAGCAGATATTGATGACGGCTTGGCAAGAATGGAGGAGTCGCCACCAGAACAATTAGACAAATCTCAGCTGAAAGCCTCGTCATCAAAAAAATGTACGGAAAATGTCGATATAAATCCCTGTTGCTGTAGCTGGCATATTCCATCTACAAGTCATACGCATCAAAAACCAATACTTCCGCGATCGACTTTACTAAAGATATTAGCTGATGCTGTGCGGTCATATCAGTGTTTAGTTCCAAAACTTATAATGGATTATACATATACACCAACTGATAGCCCATTGATAACAAAACCGCAGTCATGTATTTCATTTATTCTTGATCATTTTCTACCTATCACAAAGCGACAACAGGATCCGGAAGTAAGCATGATGTCAAGAGTTCTTCTGTCGTCTCTGTCAGACTGTGTGAGCCAACAAACAGTTCAATCCAAATTGGTCGAGGAAGTCCACGAAGCACTGGTGCGTACACTGACCGAACCAAATTACACGGAAGAGCATGTTCGCTTACAAGTTTTGATTGGTTTGATTCCCATAATGATTGAAAGCCCGATGCTTTCTAACAAAATGCATTTACAACGCAATAACATGTACAGAATTTTGTTGCGCCAGGGTGTGATGACTGATTTAGCTAAACTTGCCCAATATAAAGACTTGTCTAATTCAAACACACTTACTACAATTCATGCAACATTACGTCCAATGGAAATATTGCTGAGGCTTACCATAACTCCTGGCACTTTGTCTTCAAGGAGAATATTTTTTGGAACACCGCCTAATGGAAGCAACGCGGTTGTGAATCGCAGGCTATATCCAAGATTAACATCGCGATCCACTAACGAGAGCTCTGGTTCGGTCGGCAGTGAGCATGTCCTTCGTGATATAATCCGAAACGTCCTTTCCGATCGCAGGCAAGCCTTCGACTTCATTTTAAATGGCGAAGATATATTTTTGGACTCAGAAGATCCTTCCAACTCTATGGCAACCGGCAATGATGAGACTGAAGAAAATGAGCGTGAATCACATCTTCTGACTTCAACAAACTTGCGACCTCAAATCAACTTTGATCAACTATGGGACGATCTTTTGCAAAATGGTAACGTAGCATTTTTGGGTCGTAGCTCTGATTCAAATAATGGACCTGGTGATGGTAGTAGAATGGAGACAAGAAATAACCGATCTGATGCCAATCAGGCAAACGCCGAGGGTGGAGTTAGTGGCGGCAGCGATGGGGCGTCCACTTCATCCGAACTTGTTGCGGCCGTTGTAGACAACTCGACGTCTTTGCTGGGAGAAGTGAGCACAAGCGAATCTGAATCCGATTCAAACGCCTCCACAGAAAACGAGCGTAACGACGAGGATGAAGATGATGACGACGACGAAGATGGCAATGAAGAAGACGTGGAGGATCATAGCGAAACAGATGCAGACGAAGAAACACGACAGTTCATTGAAGTTTTCGACCACATTTATGAGCCAGAGTCTTCTGAAACCGCTTCAAATGATGCCGACGATGAAGCCTCGGAGGTAAGTGGTAGAAGTGGCGAACAAGTGGTAAACGGATCTGATGCAGATGACGAAACATCGGAAGTTAATGGCAGAAGCAGGGATCAAGTTGTTAATGCTGGCAGCAATATCAATGTCGAGAATAGAAATGTGCGCGAGGAACGCACAGAAGATCGAAATGATATTTTGCTGCTATCAGAACCCGTTTCTCGAGGCGGTGGCCAATCCTCTGATAATACGGCAAACAATTTGGTTACTTCGTCGTTTGCTGAAAGCAATGTAACAAACAGGGAAGAAAGCTCAGTTCGCACCAATCCCTCATCTGTTTGGGTGACACCAAGACTCGGCTCAACGCGGGGAGATGTGAATTACGCCACAAATATAGATTCTGGAAACACTTCTACAACCAATCAGGAGCGCAATCAAAACACTACGGTATATGTTGGCTCAGCAAACAACGTCAGCCAAACCACATCTATAGGTAATTTCATTCAAAGGCGGGAGTCTACGAGACGCCTAATTTTGCTAGATCAGCAATACTGCACGCTCATGCCATCATTCAATAATCCAACTGAAGAAGGACAACTTGATATATTCAATCAAGACAGCTTACATTGGTGGCTTGAAGAAGCAAAACACCTGGATTTGGAGTCTCAAACAGATGCGTGCTTATATGTTGCACATCTTCTGATACCGTTTTTGCTAAGAGTGTTCAAGGAGGGCCAAAAAACCAAATCAACAGAACAACCGGTTTCAACCACCACTTTCAACTCCCCTAATCGCCGGAGTGCCATTCCGGTATTTATTCAACAATCCACCAGTTCAAATAGTGGTTCCACTAATATTTCTACTAACGAAACCACCTCAGAGAGGAACGAGAGCATTGCTTTATCCGAGGACACACAAGACCATCAGGACCAAATATTAAACGATGATGTTGGGGAATTGGAGTTCTCGAGTGAAGAAGAAAACCCAGCCATTTTGGTAACAAATGAGGACGAAAACATTCAGGATGTTGAAGACGATTTTGACGACGGACTGGATGTAGATGAAGGTAATGCCGATTTAAATGTCGGTTTTATGAGAGAGGAAATCAACCCTATTCAACTTGGCAATGATATGCGAGCCGATATAGAAGAGCCACCTTCGGGAGATATGGACAATGTAGTATCTCAAGCATCTGAACTATTTTCTGCAATCGAATCAGTGGATATATCTTCGAATAATATTGTATTAGAAGACATAGAAGAAGGCGCTGCCACTGTTTCAAATCGTGAGCTCGATGTTCCGTCCGTCGAAGAACAGCCCACGGGTGAAGCCCTTAATCCGACGACTGACACAACTCCTCCTCCCGTCATGAATGCTGAAGTCCGTGCAGCATTGGGAGATTTGCAAGTGCCAGAGGGGGTGGATCCGTCATTTTTAGCTGCATTGCCAGCAGAAATGCGCGAAGAAGTTATAAACGAGCACCTAAGGATGCAACGCATACGTCAAAGGGCACAACAGAACGCAATTCAAGTTGCTCACGATTCTTTAATTGAAGTTAATCCAGAGTTTTTAGCTGCTTTACCGCCAAACATACAAACAGAGGTTCTAATGCAACAAAGAATAGAACAACAACGTCAAGCTGCTTCGGCAGCAAATCCTGATGATCCTGTTGATACGGCCGCTTTCTTCCAAAACTTGCCGGAATCCTTGCGACAAGCCATTCTCACTGACATGGAAGAATCACAGATTGCCAGTTTACCTCCCGATCTCGCAGCAGAAGCCCAGTATTTACGACGCGATTGGGAAAGTCGAAATGGACCTAGTGTTGATACGCCTCATGTACTCCGACGTTTCCCATCCTCTTTACAAAACCTCACCGATGATTCGAGATGGCATTCCAACTCGATATGGTATGAAGCGCACGGTAATCAACAATCACAACATCACCAGCATACAACAATAGTTCATCAACATCAGCAACAAATACATGGCAAGCCTATTGCATTGCTTTTCATGGAGGATGACAACAATATGCTTGACCCGGATTGTTTAGCCACAATACTACTATTTTTATTTACCGAGGACACTAAAATTAATTACACTCGATTCCATCGCGTCATACGAAATTTGTGCTATCATGCTCCTACAAGAACTTGGATTATTCAAGCTTTGATAAGTATCATTCAAAAAACAAACCAGGAAAAAGCAAGTGATTCTGAGCGGTCTATCGTTAAACCACATTGGCTTAAACTCAGAGTGGATGCAGCTTTTGGTTACAAATCGAATGTTTTTATAATCAATGAAACGCAACACATGAACCTTGATCACAGTTCGCCTTGCAACTATAACATAAATATTAATCCGCAGGCAGCACAAATGGTGGTCAAAAATTGCTTGGATTTGCTGTTTGTATTAGCCAGACATTTCCCAAGAAGTTTCGTACCGTTTAAGCACGACCAAAAGAAACGATGTGACTCGGCCATGGAATCTAGCGATAGCAGCAGAAATTCCCCTAGTGGGCTTAGTGCCGTAAATTTCTCTGAAGTGGAGAGAGATGTAGCCAATAGTACTTCGAACGTTAGTAAAGTCACCCAAAAGTCTTCTGATTTCAGACTAGATGAAGGGCCGTCAACGTCAAAGGCAGCGGCTAGTCGTGGACAAAAAAGTAGCTCAACCGGGGCAAAGAGTAAAAATGCCAAGAAAATTTCTTATAACACCAACAGCAAAGAGTTTTGGGATGTTCTTTTGAAGATAGACTTGCATACTCCACAGCGACTTACAAATATGCAGGACTTCCCACTCATATCTCACCCTCGATGGGAGTGGGAGGAACAGAATCAGGATTTTCAAACATTCAATGACACACCACTTTCAAAATTACTAGAAATGCTACCGTACAAAGTGATATGCCGTTCTCCGCAACTGACAGACATGCTTGTCAAATTGCTAGCGTCGCTTAGTGCTGAACTTCCAAAAGAAAGTGATTTAGAAGAAAGCAAGTTGATAAATAAAGTCTCCGATGCTGACGAAAGTTTCAACAGCAATGAAGTAAAGCTTAAGGAAGAATCCACCATCAGTTCCGAAGCCAACCAATACAATGCTGGCTATCGTATTAAAAACAAATTATATTCGAAGAACTTTTCACAACTACAGTTGGTAACTGAAGTGCTAACACATCAATGTGGAACCGTTGACGGATTGGATAACATTTCAAAACTGATTGTTAACTTGAGTCAGTGTTCTCACGCATCGAATGCTATATTCCTCGAGTACTTATCCTCTGCAGTATTTGGATTAGCGAAAGAAGTCCGTTTGGCGATACAAAACTTGCTAGATGAAATTCGATCCTACAAAGTTCACAATAAACTCGACAAAGACGCGAAATGTGGTACAGCTCCTCAAAATAAAGTCGTACTCGAGGGAGTTATGCAAGACCGGTTTACGTCGGAAAATGTTATTATTTCAGCCCCTAGCAATTTTAAACCTTCATGTGAGCTACAACTGCCATCGATAAAAAAATTGCTTTCCCCTTCGTCGGCCCAACTATATTTTTTGAAAACGCTTAAGATATTTATACAAGTACGTGAGATTTTCTACGCCGAAGACTCATCAGTCATGGAATCCACGAACAAAAAGCCAACCCTTAGTCAAATAATATCACTGCAAGATCTCTGGAACACTCTGAGCGAATGTTTAGTTGCTTTGGAAGAGTCTAAGGATGAATATGCAGTTCTGGTATTGCAGCCAACGGTGGAAGCATTTTTCTTGATCCATGCAACTAAGAAAAATGAAAGTAAAGTAGGATCTAATCTCGAATCACAAACTTCGACTTTGGATGCAATAGATGAAACCAACACCAGCCCAGCCATTTTGACTGAAAGCAGCGGCGATAATACAAGTAAGTGAAAGCATTTCTTATACATACATTAGAGTGGTTCAAAAAATTTTTTTGGAAATTCATAAACGCTACCTCAAATTATTGTTATTTGTGAAAAAAAAAAGAGACACGTGTTTTTTTTTTATTTTGAAAAAAAAAGTTTCAGAGGTCGCGCTGGTCGGTTTTTTATAAAAACGCTGATGTTCTCAATTTTTTATTATCTTGACATGTTAAAATGCTGCTAAAAATGTAGTTTTTACATATAAATACTCTGGTATTATTAGGGAACATTTACTTAATTACATACCTGTCTTGGGCAGTTAGAATGGGCCTAGTGCCCGAAAATATGCTCTCGAAAAGAGACTAGTAAAATTAAAACGTTGATACTGAACGATTTATGCATTGTCATGTGTTGAAACTTGTTACCAGGGGGTTTCTGGGGTTGCTAATTAGGAATCTGAAGTCAGTTTTACAAAATTCAAAATGGCGGATCCAAAGAGTTATAAATTTTTTTTTAAACTAGCAGACCCGGCGAACTTCGTCCCGCCCAAAATTAATTTTTTTAATGAAAACTTTGGACCAACGTTCGCCAGCAATTCACTTTCACGTTTGGTTTTGTGGTCGACAGAAGGCATATCCTCCATTGCCGTCTTAAATAATCTGACGAAAGCGTTATACCGGGAAGAAGGCCTTGCGGCTCGATGGTGAATCGTCCTTGAATCTGTATATTATAGTTGTGGGCAATTTCCAAACTGCTGAGTATCATTGGTCCACATTCTGTTTAGTCAACGTAAAGCAAGGACCGCAATGGTTCTGATGGTTGATTTAACGCGGGTAATTTGACTTTGATCTCTGATACTCCGAAATGACGATTTTTAGCAATAACTCGGCTCCAGCGCCACCTTGCGCATCTTTTTTTGCAATAGTATTGCCCCTATCGTTACCAATACATATATGTCTAGAATATGAGTCAAATCGGATCACAAATAGGATTTTGAGTAATAACTCGACTCCAGCGCCACCTGGCGTTTTAAGTTGTAACTTAAACTATACGTGGACCTACTCAAACACATAAAAGATGCCATTAAAATCGTTTCGGTCGTTTAGGAGGAGTCCACCCACCAGAATAAGTCTTTTTCATACTGACAGTCTTCGGCATTTTTCCCATACAAAAAAACTCTTACGCATTCGTTATACGGAGAAAATGCGCAACATCATCAGCGAAAAAAATCTTAAAAATCAACGGTAACTTGCACTTTATGATACAAAATTGGGTGAACTACAAAACTGCTTACCCAAAATGCAAAATGATGTAAAATGAACTATATTTCTATAAAAAAGAAACAAAAAAAGATATTACGAAAAAGAAAAAAAAACACTGTATTCTGGGTGTATACATATATTTACGGATAGATAAAAGTTTCAATATGTTTGGGAAGCTCCACGCCCCCTTTTCCAGTAGCCCCAAAATCACTATACCAATTTCCAGGACACCTACAAATATTTCCGAGATATACGCTATGAAAAATTCGATATGTATGGGTGATATCACTCTCCCTTAATATATAGAAAGTCTGCAGTAGGTGTCTAAATTTCGGTACAGCCTTTGACGACATCACCTCTTATAAAAAGAAGGAGCTTCTCTTTATGTAATTAGTGTCGGTAACACAGGGCAACACCGATTTCGACGCGCAAATGTTAAAGCTGTGTTTGATAGACTTTTTTGTGCTGATTACGAATTCGTAAGTATAAAGTTTCCATCAGCTCCAAATTTTGAGAAAAACGTGGTGAAAGTGAAAAAAATCGCGTTTTTTGCAATATTTGAGAAGATCTAGCAAGGAAACAAAAGGTGATAGAACCATCCACTTAAGCTTAAATTTAAGCTAGAACTGCAGACTACTATCCCTGAAACCTTGCCCTGAGTATAGGTGACTCATTTACTTTTTATCGCCCAACAATCACTGTTAGAGTTAAGGTGCAGGAATGGTATTTTCAGGGATTGAAGTCAGAGGTCCAAGCCTTAATATAAGCCTAAGTGGAAGGTTCTAACACCTTTTGCTTAATTGAGGTACAGTTGTCCACAAAATAATAGGAGTGCGATATTTTGACCAGTTTTGGCTATTTGTCTTTTTGTTTATTTAATGTTTATTATTTTTTTATAAAAGCCTAGCTGGCTATACAACAAACACCATATAAATTCAGATTTTAAACTTTGTATAAAAATTATAAAAATTTTGCAATTTTTCACCCAAATTTCAAACTTTTTAATCAGAATCTTTAGAAAAAATTCTGGTATGCAGTTTTGTAGCACATTCAATTCTAGTCTGAAGAAAAGCAGGTTTCAAGCGGCTAAAAAATTCCGTTGATTTTTGGCAATTTTTTTGCTGGCAGTGTCCTCCATATAAAAGAAAATTGTCGACATACTTTGTATGGAAAAAACCTGAAACACCTTTAACCAAAAAAATTCTCAAAAATCAACGGAATTTTTTAGCCGCTTGAAACTTGCACTTCTTCAGACTAGAATTGAATGTGCTACAAAACTGCATACCAGAATGTTTTCTAAAGATTCTGATTAAAAAGTTTGAAATTTGGGTGAAAAATTGCAAAATTTTTATAATTTTTATACAAAGTTTAAAATCTGAATTTATATGGTGTTTGTTGTATAGCCAGCTAGGCTTTTATAAAAAAATAATAGACATTAAATAAACAAAAGACAAATAGCAAAAACTGGTCAAAATATCGCACTCCTATTATTTTGTGGACAACTGTAGGTACTCAAACTTCCCAAAATCAGTTTTTTCTGTTCAACAAATGACGATAAGTGACCATCAAGCAAAGGTGCAGGAATTTGCAGGGATAGTGGTCGAGATTTCTTGCTTTAATCTACGCCTAAGTGAGAGGTTCTACCACCCTTTGTTTCTTTGCTAGAGCTTCTCAAATATTGCAAAAAACGCGATTTTTTGACACTTTGACCTCGTTTTTCTTAAAATCTGGAGTTGATGGAAACTTGATGCTTATGTCAAAAATAGCGTTAACATTTGCTGCATAATTTTTTTTCCTATTGTTGTTGGCCTGTGTAATAAGTATTGTTAAATAGTCAATACCCACATGTTTCCGGCGCCTTCGAACTCCTTTCGAGCTGTAAAACAATGACTCAATGCTATTGTACGCATATGTATAATACAGGTATCGAATTTCCAGCAAATCGGACCATAAATGAGATTTTTACCTTCCTTTTATTAGCTCGGGATGTAACTATGTAATATTGATGCGCCTAAAAGATGCTGCGATTTCTATTCTCAAGTTACATACCTGATGACAGTACGAATGGTAATTATAATAGGGAGGTTTTAGTTTTTTAAACTATATTTTTTTTGGAATAGATCGGTCCCTGGTCCAACTATCAGAAAAAGAGTATCCAATATGTTAATCTTGGCAATAAGCTACCTACGTGCCAAATTTCAAGCAAATCGGACCATAAATAAGACTTTTTTCGAATAGATCGGTCCCTGGCCAACTTAACGGAAAAAATGGATCCTATATACTAATCTAGGCAAAAGACTACCTACATACCAAATACAGTTTTTTACTCCTCCTACTAAACAGCTTTCCAAAAAAACAGCAACCATTCGAATCGGTTAGGAAAAATGGGAGAAAATTGTTCCCAATTGATTCATGCTCACTATGAATTTCACAATTATTCGAAATTTCCCAAGCTTCACAACGAATTTTCCACCTTTACATCGTCCAAAATCATCAAATCATGCGATAAAATGCAAAATTCCGTCGAAAAAATTCAAATTTTTCGCGTTCTTCCGGATTTATCCGAGTTTTCCACTTAGAATTTTCTATTTTTCCATTCGAAAGCCATTCCGAAGGAATTGCCCAAAAAATTCCATACAAAAAAAAAATCAATTTTCGATTTTTCCAATTTCCAGACTTTCCCGGAAGGTTTTCCCAAAACTTTCTTTCGTAAAAACCTTCTGGCAATTGCGAACAACTAAAAATAAATGTTGTCAAATCGGCCCAACCGTTCTCAATTGATGAATTACTATATTCTATATTTTTCACACCATTTTTATATATATAGATAACTGATCACTTAATTTTTAATATACATTTACGTATTTAATGCATACATTCTTGCCACTGCTAATCACATGAATAAAAATCCTAAAAACGAAAATGTGACTGCAATATTTCTTGTTTAAAATGTTTTAGATCCATCGCATACCACGGACTTTGTCGGCCGCCGATTTAGTTGGGCTTGCTAGTCTTTCCATTGCACCACAACTAATTGGTCGAAGCGCTTAAGTTGGTGTAGTGTGCGCACCTCCATACATCTTCATGTACATATTTCAAGCGAGCCTTACTATTTAAATAGGCGGCCGATAAATTCTGTGGTATGAGGTGGCCCTATAGCTGCATTATTACATCTATTCCGTGTGTTGCAATAACCACGGAAGCAGCAGTTATAAAGAAAATGATTTAAAAATATGAGACAAATTCTCTACTTATATGTTTGGCTTTCCTTTGTTTTATTTTTCCAACGTCAAAAGCTGGCCTTTTTTTAAAATTTTTTTAGTTTACAACAAAAAATACGAAACACGTTTTCTGTCAGATAGCTAACATGGCGGATAAGAAGAAGAAGTGAAACTACCTGGAAAAAAAGAATCTTATATGCTAATCTAGGCAAAAAGCTAACTACGTACCAAATTTTAAGCAAATCGGACCAAAACTACGATTTTTTCGAATAGATCGGTCCCTGGTCCACTTCCCGGGAAAAAAATTTCCTATATGCTAATCTGGGCAAAAACCTACCTACGCACCATTTTGAATAAAAAAAAATTGACTTCAGGTTTAATTTTACTAGTGTCTTTCCGAGAGCATATTTTCGGGAACTAGGCCCAGTCTAACTGTCCAAGACAGGTATGTAATTAAGGGAATGTTCCCCAATAATACCAGAGTAATTATATGTAAAAACCACATTTTTAGCTGCATTTTAACATGTCAAGAAAATA